ATTCATACATACATATATCACACATATATGCAAGTACATACTTCTGTATAATTCATCATGATACAGTTCCAAGGTCTGGCAAATGCTTTTTGTAATAATCTACCAAATGGAATCCTTAAAATTAAACAATACAATAACAATTGCATGATAAAAAAATTATTCTGGATACTAAATTGTGAAGAATATTAGATAAACTTACCAATTTGTAAAATATGTTTGAAAATATTCATTTGTTTCTATCAAAAACAATCGGTCCTTGGCGTGGCACAGCATCTCAAATTGTACTATGAAGTCAAAAACGTTTTTCGCACCATCGGTCTTCGTCGTGGCAAACCATCGAGGTTTGGCGCAGACCATCGGACTTTGAAGTCCCATTGCACTTTGGAGTCCAACATATATACATGTATACCTTCAATTCTCATAAACCTCAAACCTATTTTTTGCAATTCTTATGCACATAATTCAAGAAAAAAGAGCTAGTGCTTGTTTTGGCACATAAGTTTCATGCTTTTATAATAGGTCTTTGTATTGCAGAATATGTTATCTGTACATTCTAAATGTTTGACATGACAAGGTATTGCGAAGTTAAAATTTCGGTACGCATGAAAGGAAATGAAGACAAATAATATTTCCTGTCGTAGCATCGAGAATATTAATACTTTGGTCATTACAAAATCAACTTTTTACTGTATCAGTCAGCATCCGTTAGTCATGTTACCTAATGTCAACAAAAAGTTTTATTTAAATGAAGTGACGCCAGGTTTTCCTATGTCATAAACAACCAGATTTTTCTAAAGATGGAAACCATACCACAAAACGAAAGTGTCATTCGATGTACATCAGGTAAGAATGGTTATCTACTTATATACTTGATTTTTTAATTTTTTTTTCGGGAAAAACGAACATGTTACTCATATGATTTAAGGTCAGACGACACGTTTCTAAAATAAATGTTTACTTTCTCTTGGTATTATATAAAAAAAAATATTCAAAATTGTCATTTTGCTGTGATTTCTAAATTGTTTTCAATATGATTTTAAAAATACCTACACCAAAAATTGTGACATGGGCATGGGCTCACATGGAAAATATTTTAAACATCAAACAATCATAATCTCATCTTAACAGCAAACGTCATTCAAACCTACTCATCTACGTATTATTTTCTTATTCTTATTTATTAAAATCTTATCCTCTAATATTTTCTGCAAAAAGAACAGGGTTTCTGCATGTCTTAAATTTTGCATAAATTGCAAAAATTTAACAAATATACCTTTTGCTATTCAATTTTAAAGACGCGCATCAATACCTCCCTAGTAAAGATAAAACAGATGTCAATTTCACAATATCAGCAGTGTCAATTTTCTTTCGTTTAGATCATCCAAACTCCATCGTGCTTTTAGGAATATGTGTGTCTTTTCATTAAAAGAGATAATCTTTTTTGCAGTTGAAATCATTCGGGAACGCAGGAAAGTTGGAAAACGTTTCTTTCGGATGTCCATTGTTTTGATAGGAATATCTGCCTGTAGCATCGTCTTGGGAATTTTACTTATTGTCCACAAGAACAAGGAAGACCGGGGTGCTATGATATTTGCAACGAATTCAGGCGCTCCAATATGGTCAGGAGCATTGGTATAATATAGATATATTTATTTTCTTAAACATTCTCTATTTGGGACCATGGTTATCATGTGTATGGCACCTGTTCCACCTCTGAGGTTTCAGGGGGTCAATGTTTGCTCTGCTTGCAGTGTGCACTGATTAAATGGATTTTGAGCATGGTTACTATTCGTTATCTTCAGATTTCATTGTCTAATGTTCCACGCATATGATTGGTAGTTGTATGCGCCATAATAATAATTCCACTGAATTCAGTTTTTCCATTATTTAAATATGAACCTTCATGTCAAGTTTAACTACTTTTCTTATATGTGCCCTATTTGTATGCAATTACCAATCGTTGTGAAAATATATTTCAAGAAACAACGAGTTTTATCAAAAGTGAGAGAAAGTCCCTGGTGCTGCTCCTAATATATTTTGTGTTCAAAAAAAATTTGTTTAATTTTATTCTTAGCTGCTGCTCAGTGGCATATTTTGTTATTTTGCCTTTATTAAGGACTATGGTTATGGAAATGTACTATCCCCTAGCTATTTAATGAGAGTAAGTATCTCTTTCTTTTCTGTTTGAATCTGTTATCAGGGGATTCTTGTAGTCACTCTGTATTTCTTTTTTAGAGAAACCAAACTACTGAATAATTAATAATAATAGTAATAATAATTGTATTCTTAAAACTTTAAATGAGGACATCTCTTGAACAATCAAGTCTATTTTATGGCTATGATATACACTAAATATTTTCCTTTTGGCAGGTCAATGCTTTTAGAATTACAAACGGAGTGAGCTTATGCACAAATGTCATAACTGTTTATCTCTGTTTTCTCCTTCGTTGGTTCACTGATGTGTTTCTCCATGTGTCTTAATGGTAACAATGAAAAGTGTACAAATATTGCTGGCTCCATAGAACGAATATTGAACATTTGTGCATTGATAACCACTATTATTTTGAGTATCTGTAACAATGTTGGGTTCGTGGTGTTGCGGTCAAATGACAAAGTCTTGCAAATTAGTGGAGCAGAAAGCAATCCCTCTGGACAGCGATAACAGACCCAGTGAAGTGTATCCGCCCCAGCAAATCATATATAGATCCACTGGTTTCGATCAGCACCAACAGGTTAATTTTACAGAGCTAGGATATGGCGGTAGGATGAAAGATTTGGATGATGTGTCACTTTCTTCAGACTCTGGACCACAACAACAGTTTCACTATGCCTACTGATCCATCACCAGCCTATATCTAAATTTAGCATATTTAATAAAAATAATTATGTCAGTTCACCACCATTTTGTAATTTAAAGAGGCTAAAGCTACCAAGTTTTTTTTTTTTTTTTTTTTTTTTTTTTGTTGGACGTTGGGAATTATAGATTAATAGGGCTCTGTTGACTGTTGAGGAGAAGAAAATGTAGAAAAGCATGCAAGCTGATGAATTGTACTGTACATTGCTTTAAAACTTTTATTTACTGAATAATTGTTGTGTTTTATTCTTATTTAATATGAATGTAAATTGTTTTTTTTTTACTCCACATGACTGGTATGTTTAAATAAAATCACTTGAATTGGCGACATATTCCTGCAGATTATTACAATCTGCGGTTATTTCAATACAGGAAAACTCAGATAAAGTAATTTAATCGTGAAGTGAATATTTCTTTATTGAATTATACAAAATGTTAAGTCTGTGTAAAACATAAAAATCAAACATTCAGATTTTCATTCACACTTCAATTAGCATAAGAACGATTTTAACATAATCTCACATTCACCTTTACACATGATGGCATATCATGATAATATTGAACAATACCAGTAAGTGTAAGTCAGTGATACATATAATTGATTTTTGCAGCATAATTCAATATCTCTCAAAGATAAGGATGGAAGATTCTATTTAAAATTAATACAAGCAGTTTAAAGATAATGAAATATTTGTTTGTATTCAAATGGACAATAATATAAAAAGAATGTTCAATGAAAATTTAAAAATTGAAATTGCAGTACAATACATATCAGGGGAAAAATACGTTCAGTAATAGAAAAAAATCTATTTATTTATTTTATTTAGATTAAAGAGTGCAAATCTATAATATGCGTATCGTACAGTTTCTCTGCAAAGATTTAATAATGTGAAATTATAAACCGTTGGCGATAAAGATTTAACAATAAAGGTACATGTACCTCTGCATTGAACCAATTCGAGTTCAGCAATTGTCAAAGTAGCGTTTTAATTAATTCAATATAAAAGATGTTCTTTTTCAATGATGTACAATCTCTGTGCAAAGTTTTAATGCTCTTTTCCAATATTGTACAATTTCTGTGCAACGTTTTAATGCTGTGGAATTAAAATAGTTAGAGATATAGATCACACGAAGACAGTAACCCCCTTTATAGGCAAAAGGGACAGAAAATTAACTATTTAAATGTAGTCTACCCATATTCTAGAAATTAATAATTGAGATATATTGAACTACGGGAGGTAGAATTTTGAAAGAATTTCACAGATTATTCATTTATATGTATCTGTAGAAACAATAGCTACACCTGAAAATAAGCAGAAATATAAAAGCATAAAATAGTATGTTCTTGTAATGTAATTGTCCATCGGATTTCATTACTGTAGGAGTAATATCTGAAGAGAATTTCAAAAATTAATCCATTTTCAGTGATCATATTTTAATATCGTTAATCAACATCAAATGTGATATACAGAATCATATATCTTAATTCATTCTGCATGTGTCTTAAATTTTGTTAAAATTTTTAAGTAAAGAAAATTATGGAAAGAGTAGTATCGTGAAAGAAATTCATCCATTCACTGAAATCAAAAACATAAGCAGAATTAAATTGTATTACATAGTTGTTGCAGTTCTTGTATAGCACGTTTTATCAAAATAGGACCAAAAGATCTTTTGTAAAAAGTATCCTGGTGCAGTTTTCTTAGTGTAGTTGAAACTTTCCAGAACTACAATTTACAAATCACTCTTTTTTTAGCTACCGAGTCATTACTTTTAATAGAGCTCAGAACAGCAGATATATTTTAGTGTAATCTACTTGGAGTATACATAGTTTCATTAGAACCTGCCTGGAAAAGTTTCTCAAATAATTCATAGATCATTCCGTCTTAACACTGAAAAAATAAATATGCATGCTGATGGGTCAACTTGTGTTCCAAATTCTCTGTTAGTGTAATTAAGGTAATTGATAGACAGACAGACTTTTTACCAACGAATTACCTCTTATATTGGAACACCTCTAGCTATAAAAAAAAATGCTGCTGAAATTAAGTTAAAGACAAAAGAAAAAATGAATTATTTTGTTGGATATTCATGGCACAAGAAACTTTCATTTTAAACAAAATTACAATTCTGTGCACTCTGCTTTAAGCTGAGCTATCCATTCAACATGCTAAAACCATTGTTGCTTTTCTTTCTTTTCGTCGGCGTTGCTAATGGCAATGACTCGTGTGACCGGAAGGAGATGGAGGACACAATATGTAGTCTCTGTGGACAAAGGAAAGGAAGTCAACTAGCTGGAACTGGTATTTTAAAATCGGGGTCTTATAAGAAATCTTTTGTTAATGTTCATAATTTAGATCTCCCAACATTTCTGTTAACTATTAAAGGGTTTTTATCACGTATCTAAATTTCTTAAAAATGAAACACTGTTATTATCTTGAAACATATAATTATCGCTTAATTCTGAAATAATTTTGAAAACAATCATAATTAGGCGATAAAACACCCGTAATATAGAGTTCTCGAAGAAAAAATCTCCACTAGTTAGATGGGGCCACGTGGTATTGAAACGCCATAGGTGTCAGTGGTCATTTAGAACTCGTAAAGCTTATCGTAAGAGAAATATATCAAATAGATTTTGACGTTTAATAAATAGACTACACGATAAGGTCAACTTCTTCATTATTTTAATAAATTATATATATAACTAAATCCTGTATATCTTCTATCTGTTCCAACAGTGAATATCATGTACTAGAAATGACACTTCTTCAACCGTATTCAATGGAGCCATACGGCATTACGAAGTTTCACAACATTCCTACTAGATTCTGTGTGACCTTAAAAATGCGCATTGGATATTTTTTTCCGTTTTAAAAAGGTACCATGTCCTTAAATAGTTTACAGTACAGAAAAAAATTGTGTTTCTGGCATAAACGATTGTTCTGAATGAAGACAAAGCCCTCGCGTTTGCAGAAAAAGGCCCCCTTCTACCTCTCACCAAGTCCAGAAAATGTGGAAAAAAAGTCTTCCTAAAACCTTTCTTGTGCACATTTGTGCATCCTAAAGCCAAAGATTATACTGTACTAGCTGTCAATTATCACTTATTTGTTTACTAACAGGTTTAATAGACCCAACAAATGAACCGTTTTGTATACACAATAAGTAATTTGCGTGACCACGATTGACACCTATGACGTCAGAGCAATGGCGCGTAGCATCGGCGATCAAAATATGCACATTGAGAAATTCACACTTTGAATCGCTGAAGCATCAACAATATTAATTTTTTACCTAAGATTTTTTCAATATACGTTTCTGTTAACTTTCATTTCTTTTTTTTCTGTGATGAACATTTTCAAAATACATGTATGAGTAACTAAATACTAGTAGTCGAATGAAATATAACGATAAATTGGGTTAATGTTTTTTTCCAGGTCAACAAATTGCGTTTTATGCCTATATGTCCAGTAACATCCAGATAAAGACATTATCCAAACACAGAATATTTGTTTATGATCGTGTTGAGACAAACATTGGAAACGGATATGACGCCAAATCGGGAAAGTTCATCGCTCCAGAGAGCGGGGTTTACGTCATACACACAACTACTGTTTCATACGATAAATCACACAGCGTTATAGAAGTAGTAAAACATGGAGTCATTAAAAACATAGGAATAGCTGACTCCGGAAATCACGATGATTATGCCTCAACTTCTACATTAACTGTTTTGAATTTGAAGAGAGGAGATGTATTAAATACCAGAGTTGGACCAGGGTATGGAGGACAATACCTACTGAGCAACACATTAGCCCGAATGAGTTTCTCTGGATTTAAACTCCTGTAAAACAAATAATCTGAAAATAAATTGGTAAAGGATCACTGCACTTAAGCTATGAGAGTTGGGTCCCGGTGCTTTGCCAATAATAAATTTCCGAAATTTATAAAAAAAAATTTAATCAGAATTATTAGACAATATCTTAAGAGCAGGGTTTGATATATTATATCACATAAAAATATTAAATAATGCCGAGCGACAGTGGTTTTTGCGACAGGGGTCTAGCAGTTTTGTCACATTTCTATTGTTATTCATATGCATACCAGTTTTCAACGACATTGTTTACATTGATCCGCAACTTGTCCATTCTTCTCATTTGCACAGAATGTGTATTTTGATTTAAACTTACACATACCCAAAGGGCAATGTTGGACAATTTGCGGCTCATATGTAATTTTCAAAAAAATTCTCCAAACTACGCTCGGGTTAGCTACTAAATTAACAGGTCACCGAGTGTCAACCTATTTTGACCTGTTTGATATTATCACTTTGCTCACGTGACATTCCACTGTTCGATTTGCTTTCATTGTGTCTATCAATAGACTTCAGGGCTGTATTTAAGTACAAAATCTGACTATGAATAGACTTTTAATACGGTGAATCCTAAGATTTTTCGAATCTTATAAAACTGTATTAAGAATAGGGCAATGCTCTATTTCTTAATACAAGTCTTAACTTACCTTTCATTTTTAAACCAATCAAAAGTACTCACATTGTGGTCATCCTATTTTTATCATAACAAAAAAAAGCACGTGGTAAATAATGGTCGACTTTAGCAGTAAAAATATCGAAAAACTCGTTGTTTTATGGGAAGAAGATCAAAAGGAGTAACTACATGTAAGTGTAAAAGTTGCTCAAATGCAGCGTTATCTATTCTAAAGAAGTTTTTAAACTACTGGGGTCTTCTCTTTGCACCTCATCTAGCGATGCATTGTGTGCACCAAGTACATATACGAGTGTTCCGCCGCTGTTTCCATTACGATGTTGTTTTTTTTTCAGTTTTATTGTAATGCTTAATACGATAACATATACTGCTAACAGAACGTCGTTTTCCATTATTGAGAGAGGGAGGGAGAGAAATATTGCGACGAAACACGTAGAAATCCCTAAGTCTATTAACAATCTAATAAAACGTATAAACGTGTGTACAGGAAAGTATTATAATACAAATATAATACTTGTATTATACAGTAACTACAAATCTCACCGTTTGTACCGGCCTGCACAACTTCAAAATAATGAAGAATTTTGCGAAAATTTTATTAGGGTCTTAAAGTTTACCTTGTCTTTCACTAAATTGTGTTTTTCGTTTGGTATTTTGAAGGAAATTCTGGTACTGCCAGTGCAAATCAAGTGCACGATTAGTATGTAGCTGTGTTAGCTTGTGTCGCCTCTGTATTATGGTCTGCAGGCATCTACAGACGCATCCCTAAACACTAGTATCATACCTGGCAATATTTGGATTGCCGAAATGAAAGAGATATTGAAGACATAAGCGAGTGATTATCAATATAGTAACGTTGTAGAATTTTCGTTGACCATGTTTTTTAATCTGAAATATACTTGTTCCATCAATAAAATGTTTAATTTAAATTATGTACAGATAGTTTGTATTTCTTGGAGTTTTCATGTTAACCTAGCGACTCAAATTTTAAGTTAAAATTTTATATTTCATTTCCGAATGTTATTTATCTATACATGCATATAATAAAATATGTATCACCGTGACTACTACATACATGTATAATTTGTTTCACTACACGTTCGTATTACTCTACGTACTACATGTACAGTGAATTGCGATTAAATGTAGTGTGACATCGAAGTACATGTGAATCTTTCTTAAAACATACATTCATTCTTTGAATTGAAAAGCATTCAGCATATAAAACGAAAAATGATAAAGCTAAAGAAAAAAGAGGGGGCATTTTTTATCATATACGAAAACTTAAGATTGATCTAATTCGGTGCTAGGCATCAAACATGGTAACGAATCATGAAAATGATCAATATGTATAACCATGAATCATTTATTATTTGTGTGAATCATGAAACTACACAATCTTTCTCTCCCCCATTTAAATTCATACTGTAGAATCAATCTGGAAATAATGTGCAAATGTTTACATTCCACTTCCATGCGATTTAAATATCTCCGCCCATTTGCGGGTACCTTAAATTCGAAAGTGGTCCAGTTCAAATTTCCGGAATTTAAGGCTTATACATGTTCTTTTCAATGACGTTGTGTGGAATTATAGCAATATGTTTAATAAAAAATTCGAAGTATAAATATCTAAAGCATATGTATGCACAATAATCATAGATTAATTTAGCAGTATAGTCTAATTTAAGGCTTAAAATGGGTGGCCGAATAGGCTCCAAATGACACTCTAAATACACTCATTCTTTGAAGATATTTAGTAATGTAATTCCTTCTGTTTCAGTGGTTTATCAATGTGCAAGTAGATAAAAAAGTTTCAATTACACCAAAGAGAATAACAAGACATTATTCGGCATTGTTAAACATGGACATCAAAATATTGCTGGAGTTCTGCACACTCTTCTGCATCACTGTTATTCTGTGAACTGGAGAAAATAAAAAGGAATAAAGCATTAACCCTGCTTTTCCACTAGCAACAAGGAATGTGATCTGATTTCAATAAAATACACTGTCTAAATATCCATTTAATTCTGCCTTTCAAAAAACTTAGAATTAGCATTTTCCAAACCAAGATTTATTACATATTTTTTGTAGCGAAACACCATTATCATCTATATTTGGGGTCTATGTCGCTTAATTAACTCGATGCGCAAAAGCAAATTCTACGTACAAACAATTTCTATAACTAGACAGGTTACTGACAAAAACTTGACAACAGAAGTGTATCAACAATTTTGTTTAAAGTCAACATTTACCAAATTATATAGTCGGTATAATGACCTTGTTTTAAAGTACATTTTGTAGTTAGGTCGAATGTTGACTGTTTTTCATACAAATTTTGGCCATTATTTCACATTGAATGTACTAAGCTTTCCTAGTTTACCCGATCATGACAAGCGCTCAAAGCGGGTCTGCCTATTGCCTACTCCTCCGTGACACCTGATTCCACCTCTGATATTTTCAGAGGTCCGTGTTTGCTCTGCTCGTAATTTATATTGTTTAATTAAACTTTTGAACATGATTCTGTTCGTTATCTTCAAATTAATATGTACACATTATACTGTCAGCTCATGTTTCTTAAAGCGAGTGTAGTAGATGCTGTGAAAAAAGTGAAGCTAACGAAACAATGATCTATCTTATAAATCCTGGAAACAATACGATTCAGAAACAGGGGTGAAAACAAGGACTGGTGGGTACACAATAGGTGGAATCAGATGCTTTGGACGTCCCTTACAGACAGGTAATACGCCCGGTGAGTCATCAATATTGATCAGGTAAACGGAGCAATCTGTAGACAAAGTACAAAAACTATAGATCGTTCCAAGGAACGCACGTTTCGCCTGCCTTTAAAGCTTCATTAAAGATGAAAATTGGTAAGTTATTTATTTGCGACTGCATTATTGTTCATGTTTTCGCCTGCAAAGAAATAAAAACATCCATGGATAGTAAGACTGCGACAGAATCTGACAATCAAATACAAATATGATTCCACAAACGTCAATGCTTAAATGAATTGAAATGATTTAAAAATTGTTATTTATCATTTTATTAATCATTTACGTGTTCCAACAATAGACCATATCAAGGTTATTTGACGCCATCTTGGACGGGGGGGGGGATTAGGGGCTGACGTTATATATATTATGCAATGGCTGAATCGAGCTCCACAACTAACGATGTTACAAATATAATCCCCAAGTATAATTTACCTGCGTCGTAACAAGTGTGCATATCTATGCAGGAAAGGCCCTAAGATACTGTATTACATGTATGATCGTAAACACGTATTTTATTTTTTATTTCACTTTTATGACGTACGTTGCAGTTTTAAGGACATAGGCAACGTAGTTTGAACTTTATTGTCTTTCCCCCTGGCGTTGAAGAGTTCCAATACTTAAAGGAATTGTGTGTTACATTTTAATGTCTATATATGCTGTTGTACACTTCTTCTAAAACAAGTTTGGATAAACAAAACATCTAGAATATATGTTTAGTAATTTTTGTATATTTTTCTTTGAATTATATAAGAATTTTCATCAATTTATATCTTTTCAAAACCCCTGGTAATGCATGCTGATTTTTTGTCTAGGAACATCTGATGGCACAATAATCTTAAATTAATAATATCTTGAAAAATTATCAGTAGATAAGGTACGTTGCGTATGTCCTTAATCGAGGTAGTCAGAATAAATTGGAATGTCTATGGGTATTAATTGCGCCTCCTTAATGGACTTTTCCGAGAAGCGCTGATTTTCAAAAATGATGACTTACTTTTACACTAGGTCAATATACGGAAGCTCTTTTGCGATATAAAGATTAAGCTCAAGAGTTAATTAAACGATAAAAATGGGCCATTTCAAAGCAAATATAACGTTTCAAGGAAGGGATCGGCATCCACAGTGGCCTTAACCCACTACCTTTCCACATTGACCAATTCTTGCTTAGTTTTCTTTTTGATATGTATTTTCTTCCTTATTTCAGTCCTTCAGAAAAATAAGATTGAAAGGAGATACTACCCCTCACGAGTATGGTAATTTAAGTAATGTAATTCTGTCTCCAGTCATCTCTTGCGTTGATTGTATACCGGTAAATCATGTTAGTGCCCCTACCACCATACCTATAACCACTATTAAGGTTTTCTTGTCTATTATCAATTCCGTATCTCCATACATAAGGCAGGTTTAAATGTCAAAGTAACCCGTCGACTGTAAAAGTCAGTGCTTCTCGCAAAAGTCCATTAGCAGACCTGTTTTTGTATTCATATGAAGCAAAATTTATTCAAAAACTTATACATGAGAAGAAGAAAATACTTGCTGTTGTATTCAACTTGACATTTAGATATATCGACGACGTAT